TATCAAACAATATCAATAATATCACTTGCAAGTAAAATTGTGCTGAAAATCATTCAAAAGCGGTTGCAGCAGTACATCAACAGGGAACTGCCAGAAACTCAAGCCAGTTTCAGAAAAGGATGTGGAACCAGGGATATCATTGCTGATGTCAGATGGATCATGGCTGAAAGCAGAGAATACCAGAAAGATGTTTACTTGTGTTTTATTGACTATGCAAAGTCTTTCAACTGTGTGGATCATAACAAATTATGGATAACATTGCGAAGAATGGAACTCCAGAACACTTAATTGTGTTCGTATGGAACCTGTGCATAGACCAAGAAGCAGCTGGTCAAACAGAACAAGGGAATACCACATGGTTTAAAGTTAGGAAAGGTGTGCATCAGGGTTGTATCCTTTCACCATACTTATTCAATCTGTATGCTGAGCAAATCATCCAAGAAGGTGGACTATATGAAGAACGGGTCATCAGGATTGGAGGGAGACTCATTAACAACCTGACATATGCAGATGACACAACCTTGCTTGCTGAACGTGAAGAGGACTTGAAGCACTTACTGATGAAGATCAAAGATGACAGCCTGCAACATGGATTGCACCTCAACATAAAGAAAACAAAAATCCTCACAACTGGACCAATAAGCAACATCATGATAAACAGAGAAAATACTGAAGTTGTCAAGGATTTCATTTTACTTGGATCCACTATCAATGCCCATGGAAGCAGCAGTCAAGAATCAAATGACATTGCATTGGGCAAATCTGCCACAAAAGGTGTCTTTAAAGTGTTAAAAAGCAAAGATGTCACTTTAAGGACTAAGGTGCACCTGACTCAACCCATGGTGTTTTCAATAGCCTCATATGCATGCAAAAGCTGGACAATGAATAAGGAAGACCGAATAAGAACTGATGCCTTTGAATCATGGTGTTGGTGAATAATATTGCGTATACCATGGACTTCCAGAAGAACGAACAGATCTGTCTTTGAAGAAGTACAGCCAGAATGCTCATTAGAAGTGAGGATGGCGAGACTTTGTCTCACATACTTTGGACAAGTTATCAGGCGGGATCAGTCCCTGGAGAAGAACATCATACTTGGTAAAGTAAAGGGTCAGTGAAAAAGAGGAAGACATGCAAGGACATGGACTGACACAGTGCCTGCAACAATGGGCTCAAGCACAAAGATTGTGAGGATGGTGCAGGACCGGGCGGTGTTTTATTCTGTTCTACATAGGGTCACTGGGAGTCGGAACTGACTCAATGGCACCTAACAACAATAATATAATTTCAGGTAATAAATGTATGAAGAAAAGCAAAGCCAAGTGAAGGGAAAAGTGAGGTGGTAGGAAAGCCTATTTTAAAGAGAGGTCAGGGCAGGCCTCTCAGATGCGGTGACCCCTGTGAGACACCTGAGCAAGTGAGGGGAAACCATGTGGATGCTGGAGGAAGAATGCTCCAGGAGAGGACGCAGCATTTGCAGAGGCCCTGATCGGGGAAGGAACTGGGTGCATCTGTGGAGCAGCCAGCCTGCCAGTGTGGGTCAGAGGGCGAAGAGAGCAGGACCTCTGATAAGCCTGGAGAGGGGCCAGGACCCGGGTCGGGCCGGCCCTATAGGACTTGATTCCATGCGCAATGGGTGCCACGGAGGGTTGTTAGCAGAATGATGTGATAAGATTTATTTTTAAAGGATCTCTCTGACCACCATGTGAAGCTCAGACAATAGAGGGGGAAGAGACAAGAGGGGAAGGAGTCCAGTTAGGAGGACCACGGTGGTCGTGGTGGAAGTGGTGAAGAGTGTGTGGCCCAGGATGTAATTTGAAGACATGGACATGGATTTGATGCATGGGTGACAAAAGGAGAGACAATTACTAAGTTTCTGACCAAGTAACTAAGTGGGTAATGGTGTTAGTTACTGAATATGGAAGCCTGGGGCAGGAAGAGGTTAGGGAAGAAGGTCAAGAGTTGTTCTGGACATGTGAAGTCTGAGAGGCCCATGAGGTATCCAAGTGACTATAACAAACAGGGCATTGGGCAGGAGTCTAGAACTCAAGGAGGGATCAGCATGGAGACTTAAATGTGGGCATCATGAACTTAGAGATATCCGTGAAAGCCCTGGGACTGGATGAATTTGCCCAGGCCAGTGGCTCTTTTTAGGGGTGGTCCCACCTCTAAGGGGAGTGCTGGTGGCGTAGTGGTTAAGAGCTACAGCTGCTAACCAAAAGGTCAGCAGTTTGAATCCAAGAGCTGCTCCTTAGAAACCCTATGGGGCAGTTCTACTCTGTCCTATAGGGTCGCTGTGAGTCAGAATCAACTCGACAGCAATGGGTTTGGGTTTTTGGCTCACCCCTAAGGAGCTTTTAGAAATTTGAATGTTTTTGATTGTCAGAAATATTGGAGGATGCTACTGGCATTTAGTGGAGGGGGGCCAGGAAAGCTAAAAGTTCTGTAATGAAGAACTGTCCTATACCCTCTTGGGCTTTCAAATGTTCTGCCAGATATTGGTATAGGTAAAAATCTGTTTATAATTGTTGTGTTGTTAGCTGTCATCAAGTCAGTTCTGACTCATGGCGACCCCACGTGTGCAGAAAAAAACTGCTGTATTGGGTTTTCAAGGCTGTGACCTCTGGCTGGGTTCCAACTGACAGCCTTTTGGCTAGTCAAGCACTTAACTGTTTGTGCCACCCAGGGACTCCTTGTTTATCACCTGAACTTAAAGCCTAATATAAGCCCGATACTGTTGTTGTTTGTTTTTACTTCACACTGAATCTTCCAGGAGTGGTACTACTTTATAAATCAAGAGAAGATTGTTCATTGTTTATTCAGAATTTAACTGATTTCATTCACCATTTCACAAATCGTGTCACCACCAGCAATTCAGCTTGTGGTATCCAAGCTGCTGGTCAATATACCCATCTGCATTTCTAAATGTTGCATCAGAGTACAGGTGCACACACCAGAATAATTCACCTTGTCTTCTAGTAGAGTTGAGCTTGAACATTACATTATACAACACATATTCTTTTATTATAACTTACTTTCCTGTGAAGTTACTTTCTATTAGTTATAGATTCATACTGATTTTTCAATAATTATGTGGGTAGGTAGAATGTATCATCTATGAATTTCAGTTTAGCTCAGTAAAGTGGGGTCTCATAAAATACCACTATGACAGGGGGGCAATGGGTCAATAGGAAAAAAGACTAAGCTCCGGGCAACTTTAACTTCTAGGGATCAGGAAAAGGAGACAGCAAAGAAGACTGAGAAAAAGCAGCCACACAGGTAAAAGGAAAACCAGAAGAAGGAGGAGTCTTGCCAGTCAGGTGAAAGACTGGACGGGCAGGTGGTTAATAATATGAAATGCTACCAAGAGGTAGAATAAAATGAGGGTTGAGAAATGGCTCTTGGCCAGATGGAGGCTGTTGGCCTCTTTGGCAAGAGTGGTTTCAGTGGAGAAGTGGGGACAGAAGTCTGGCTGGCGGGGGTTAGGCAGAATGGAAGGCAGTGAGTCTACACAACTTTTTCAAGTTTTGCTAAACAGGGGGTCACAGCAGTGGTAGATGGAATCAGGGGAGGATTTTTTAAAAGATTGATACAAATGCTTTTAAGTGGAGAGACTGATGCAGGAGAGAGGGAGGAATGGATGTTACAAGATCGAGGGGACAACTACAGAAGCAGAGTTCCTATGTCGGTGAGAAGGCATGGGATCCAGTCCATGAGGGGAGGGCTGGCCTTGGGTGGGAACAGAGACAGTTCACCTTCTAATTGGAGGGAAGTCAGAGTGCATATGTGAAGAGAGATGCAGGAAGAAAAGTCATCGGCTGAGGTGAGGTAGGGGTAGGGCAATGGTGGAAGTTTCAGGAGTGAAGAAAGGTAGGGAATCAACATCTCTGACTGGAAGTCTAGCAGGGCTGCTGAGGGCCCCTTAAGAACTGAGCCATAAATTTTAAGTTGGACCACTCAGCAGAGTTCTGTGTTTTTCTCCAGCTGCTTGGGTATGAACCACTGGGATTTTATTAGTTAGAGAGGGGCAGTGGGGGTTGAGGGAATGAATAAGAAAAAGCTTACAATGGCAGACCAAAGAATAAGCTAGACTAACAGGTAATGTGGACATGGGGGACAGGAGGAATAGATAGTATACGAATGTAAGTATATAAATATTCCCACTTGAAACCATCTTTATAAGCCCAAAGCTCACTCCACTCCAGCAAGGCTGAACACTTCCCATGTGTTCACTAGCTGTGACTCCTCAGAGCTGCACCCTGTCACTGGGTCCTCCACGTCCACTCAGCCGTAGCCCAGCTCAGTCACCATAGACACCGACTGGGTCCTACCTGGTCCCGTGTGTTTGAGGATAAAGTTTTCATCATCAAACTTCTTGCCGTAGATGGACTTGCCCCCCGTGCCGTTGTGGTTCGTGAAGTCGCCGCCCTGGCACATGAACTGGGGGATGATGCGGTGGAAGCTGCTTCCCTTGAAGCCAAAGCCCTTTTCATGGGTGCACAGGCAGCGGAAATTCTCTGGGGTTGACAAAGAAAAAGGCGCTGAGGTTAAAAAACAAAACAAAACCTTCCTATCTAGAATCTGAAAAACTGTGTGTTATATTTAACATTCTCATTTTAAAATAAGAGATGCTTACAATAAACCTTTGGGAAGCTGACATCTTGAAAGACTACAGGGGGTTCTAGTTAAAGGTAGATTGAACACGTGCATTCTAGGCCTGTTTCCTCCCCAAACCATACTAAATTGTGGTCAAGTGGTTTTTTAAAAGAAAAAGGAAACGGAGAAAAGACAACAACAAAAAATACTGAAATCCAGAAAACAAGTGAGTCATAACTGAGACAGCAGCCTCGAGAAAGTGGAATCTTAAGCTGGGAAAAGCTAAGAAGCAACTCAGTTTATGTTGCAGAACCCCCAAAAGCTCAGACATGAGAAAACAAAAACAAAACAAAAAAACCGCATCCATTGCCGTCAAGTCGATTCTGACTCATAGTGACCCTATACTACAGAGAACTGCCTCAGCGAACCAACCCTTTAACCACTGTGCCACCAGGGCACGTATGAGGGAGAAGGTAGGTCTAAAAAATGATAAGTCTGATCAAAAGTCTGTTTAATTAAGTAGTTAACTCCCCAGGTGCTCTCCCCACTCTACAGCTGGGGGCTAACCCCCCTACCCTGGCAGCAGGCCAGAGGCCCATTCTCTGGTAGGTTAAAGCAGAGGGTAACTGGACTGGGGAGCCCTACACACAACTGAGGCTGAGGTATCGTAATGACACATGGAGACTGAGTGAAGTTTATATACTAAATGTTGAGGTACTCAGCCCTCCCCCTAACTTCTAGATAGCAGGCAGCTGGACACAGAGCCTCTAGCAGGAGACTAGGGGAGTCTTGTCAAAGAGAACATAACTTAGAGATCCTGAAATCAGGGGTCTGTCAAGGAGAGAGCCCAACCCAATCACCCTGCAGTGGATGCCTCACTCAGCAAGCCTTTCCGGTCAATGCCCATGGAGCTTCTGAGCAGATTTTTAGGGCCCTGTTCTTAGATATGAGGAAGGCATCAAAATATGAAAAGCAATGACCAAAACAGGCAAACAGATCAAAAACAAAGTAAACCCAACTTAAAGAAAAATAAACTATATCAGGAGAAGAAACTTCAATAATGTGTCTAGGAAGATGAAATGATACTACGTTCGTGGAATAAGCACCGGGTGCTATACAAAAGACCGTATACAAAGGTTCCAGAAAGAGAGAAGAGAGAGATCATAGGAGACAAAAGCAAAGAAGTAATTCAAGGAAATTTTCCCCGACAGATGGGTGTGGTAGATAGAATAATGGCCTCCCAAAGACGTCCATGTTCTAATCCCTGGAACCTAAGAATATGTTACGCTCTATGGCAAAAAGGGGCGGATTATCCAATAGGCAAGGTAAGCATGGTGCTTGAAGCCATCTGTAGGTTAGTAAGTAAGCACAAGTAAGCCCATGCTTACCTTGCCTATTGGATAATCCACCCCTGATAGCAAAAGAGACTTTGCATATGTGATTAAGGTTATGGACCTTGAAATAGGGAGATTATCCAGCGAACTCAATCTAATCATGGGCCCTTAAAAGAGAACTCTTCTCAGCTGGAGTCTAAGAGAGAGAGTTGGAGCAATGTAATGAAAAACATACGCAGGAGTGATTCAAAGCGTGAGAGGGATTCAATCCATGGTTGCTGGCTTTGAAGGAGGAGGAAGGGGGCCACAAGCCAAGGGACGTGAGGGGTGTTTAGAAGCTGGGAATAGCCCTCAGCTGATAACCAGCAGATAATGGGTACCTTAGTCCTTCAAGCGCATGGAACTGAATGCTACCAGCAACCTGAACACCCTTGGAAACAGATTCTCTCCCAGAGCTTCCAGAAAAGAATGCAGTAGCCCTGCCAACATCTTGATCTTAGCCTGGTGAGACCAGTGCTGGACTTAGACCTCTAGAACTATAAGATAATAAACCTGTTTTCAGCTGCTAAGTTTGTTGTAATTTGTTACAGCAGCAATAGAAAAACTACAGAAACAAGGCCCACCGAATAGTTACCATAATGGATGGAAGGGGATCTTCCCCAAAGGCAAACCATTTCAGAATACTGGGGCCAAAGGGAATGGACATGCCTATGGCCAGCTATTTTAAGCACTTGGCTAATGCAACTGAGAAATTAAATTTTTTAATTTAAATTAAAATAGCACAAGTGGCTAGTGGCTATCATATTGGACAATACAGTTCTAGACAGAAAAGAAGTTTCATACAAAGAACCAAAGAGCCCTGATGGCACAATGGTTAAAGCACTCGGCTGCTAACCGAAAGGTTGGTGGTTCGAACCCATCAGCCACTCCACGAGACAAAGATGTGGCAGCCTGCTTCCATAAAGATTATAGCTTTGGAAACCCTCTGGGGCAGTTCTACTCTGTCTTATAGGGTCTCTATGAGTTAGAATTGACTTGATGGCAGCAAGTTCCTTTAGGTTTATGCAAAGAACCAAGAATCAAAATGACATTTTTCTAAAATTCCATGGTCTGCCAAACTGTGAATCAAGTGGGAGGGTGAATATCATCAGACATTGGTCTCAAAAACCTTAGCTCCCAAGCACTTTTCTCCAGATGGTACAGGAGTATGTGTTCTGTTGAAATGAGAGGACAAGCCAAGAAAGAAGACAACAGAGATTCTAACACAAGAGGAGAAAATGGGAGTCCCACGACAACAGCTGTTCGGTGGGCCTGGAGAGCAACCAGTCAGGCTGAAGCAGCTCAGAAGGCTCCAACGAGGCACCTCTATAGGAAAGTAAAACTGACAGACTATCTGATGTGCTTCAACATAACGAGAGATTTATACACCAAAGAATTTTCGAGAATCAGGAATAAGTACACAGAAAACTAAGCAGATGTAAAAACAAGACAATCATTAACTCCAGGGAAAGCAAAATGGTGTGTGTCAAAGGAAGTTATTATCATATGATGCTTGCCTAGTTAAAATAATCTGTAATCTAAGCGAAATTATGGTAACTATATTGGGAAAATGAGGCGGCAGACAAGCTGGTTTTAAAAAGCTAATTCCTTATCTTCTGAAGTGGGAAGTCAATAGATGATGCCTAAAATGGAGAAATTAGGTAACAGCAATATAAACCTGTTATCTAGCAATATGGAGGTAAAAACCAAAACAAAAACCCGCTAAGAGTTGAAATAAGCTGCCTCTGAGGAGCAGCAAATGATGTGGCAGGGCCAGGGGTGGGGGACAGCTTTGTAAAACTGGTTTTTTAAAAAAATTTTCTTGTTGTTGAGAATGTACACAGCAAGACATACACCAATTCAACAGTTTCTACATGTGCAATTCAGTGACACTGATTACATTCTTCGAGTTCTGCAATGATTCTCACCCTCCTTTTCCAAGCTGTTCCTCTCTCATTAATGAAATTGATTCTTTATGTGATGGTTAATTTTACGTGTCAACTTTGCTAGGCTATGGTGCCCAGGTCTAGATATTGCTATGAAGGTTTTTAGATGTGATTAACATTTACAATCAGTTGACTTTTCAAGTAAAGATTACCCTCCATGTGGGTGGGCCTCACCCAATCAGTTGAAGGCCTTAAGAGCAAAACCTGAGGTTTCCTGAAGAAACGAAGGGATTCTGCCTCAAGACTGCAACATAGAAATCCTGCCTGGTCCAGACTTACTGGACCAGTAGAGACTAGAAGACTCCCTGTGACTATTACCCTGAGATAGTCTTTAAACCCCAAACCAAAACTATGCCAAGATCACATTTTAGCAAAACATCAAAGTGTCACACAAAATAAAGGATATTACCCATAAGTACAGTGCTTCTAAAAAAAACCATCTACATGAGACTAAAAGGACAACATTTACTCTAAAGCAAAGATGAGAAGATAAGGGGACAGGGAAACTACAGTACTGGAAATGGAACAACCAGACCACAATTAAAGAGAATGCTGACACATTGTGAAAAATGTAACTAACGTCACTGAACAATTGTATAGAAATTGTCAAATAGGAACCTAATTTACCATGTAAACTTGCACCAAAAACACAATAAAATATTATTAAAAAAGAAAGAAATCCTGCCTAGTTTCTAGCCTGCTGGCCTGCCCTACGGACTCAGACTTGTAATGTAAGCCCCTCCAGTCGTGAGAGTCAATTCCTCAAAAATCAATCAATCAATTTCTTTCTCTCTACACCCTATTGGTTTTGTTTCTCTGGAAAACCATGACTGATACAAATATGTATTTCTATAATAATAAAATTTAGATTAAAACAAGAGTGAAAAAAAAGAAAAAAGAAAAGTCAGTATAGACTTTTATAGTCAATATGTTATGGCTGTGTGCCATGGAGTTGATTTTTGACTTAGCAACCCCATGTGACAGAGCAGAACTGCCTCACAGAGTTTCCTAGGCTGTAATCTTTATGGAAGTAGATTGCCAGGTGTCTTAGCTATCTAGTGCTGCTATAACAGAAATACCACAAGTGGATGGCTTTAATAAACAGAAATTTATTCTCTCACAGTCTAGTTGTCTAGAAGTTCAAATTCATGGCGTCAGCTCCAGGGGAAGCCTCTTTTTGTCTGCTCTGGAGGAAGGTCTTTGTCATCAATCTCCCCATGAACTAGTACAGGGACCCTGGGTCCAAAGGACGCGCTCTTCTCCTGGCACTACTTTCTTGGTGGTATGAGGTCCCCCATCTCTCTGCTCACTTCTCTCTTTTATATCTCAAAAGAGACTGACTTAAGACACTATTTAATATTGTAGATTGAGTCCTGCCTATTAACATAACTGCCCCTAATCCCACCTCATTAACATCAAAGAAGCAAGATTTACAACACTTGGGAAAATCACACCAGATGACAAAATGGTGGACAATCACATAATACCAGGAATCATGGCCTAGCCAAGCTGACACATATTTTTGGGATTTTTTGAGGACACAATTCAATCCATGACATTCCACCCTTTGGCTCCCCAAAATTCATGTCCTTGCCACGT